AGACGCACCTGTTACTCCAGATAAAAAAAACCTGTCAGCAAGTACACAAATCAAAACACCTGCCTTTCACACACACAGGAAAATATAGCTTAGCTTGTGTTCTCATAAATGTAAAAGGACGATACAAGTGGTTTGTCTCCTGGTTATAGTCACATTTCACACATATGGAATGTAAAATATCATTAAGTAGAAAAAAAATGTTTGTATTACTTTAGTAGCTGCTGATTTTTAGTAACACTGTAACCAGCATCTCTTTTGGCGGCTCTGAAGCAGCCACCTGTCGCTGGCCTGAGCCAAGTCTTTCTAGTATGACTGCGAGCTGAGACGCTTCAGGTTCCACAAACTGGAAACACTTCAGCAACCTCTGTGTCATCTTCACTATAAACGTAAGACATGCTTCTTAAAGAAGAGTCTGCATTTATAAACTCAACTTCAATCATGGGGCTCTGCGATCATGTATGTGGTATGAATAAATACCATCTTGTTCTAAGAGGTACCTTGGAGAGAACGGGTAGATAGAGCTGTCTCCGTGGAGGCACATCAAAGTGCTGGTTGCCAGACAGCAGAGGGGACGTGGATGTGGAAAAGGGACTCTCTCTGTAGAGCTCAGCGGCCAAGTGATTCCAATACTCCAGGCAGATTTTGAAGATCTCAGTCTCTTCCACCTCTGACACCAGCAGCATGTAGTGGAGGGCCTGAAGGAGAACCAGGGGAGTTGCGATGTAACGTGAACATGTTAGCTAATTACCATAATCTTCTCCTGTGCAGCCTATGTAGAGCAACAACAAAATACAGAATACCGTGCTTCCCTTACCTCCATTAATGTCTCTCTGAGGTTGAGCCTCTTCTCAATGAGTTGCCCGTGCTCTTTAAGGAAAGTACACAGGAACAGACTGAGGTTCTGGATGAAGTTTTGCTCGTCATCTTTCCCGTTGGCGTAGGCCAGCCGAATGTTGGTGTTCAGAGGCAGCATCTGAACAGATTAGAGTTAAAATTCATCTTAGAGTCTCAAACCGAGCAACGTGTCAGTGTGGCTTTGTCAGATGTCACCGGGTAACCCACCTGTTTGAGCTGACACATGGTCAGCGTGAAGAGGGTAACAAACTGCTCCTCGTACTGGCTGACACTCACGCCTGCAATCTCTGTCAGGCACTTCAACGTCACGTTGCGAAACATCGGCACGTTCAAGAACTGTTTAAAATAAAAAAATATATATGTTAAATATCCATTATAAATCGATTTTATGCACATCATCGAATATTTTAAATAATCACACAAATCTGCATCTTTGTGTGTTGTGTGCGCCTTTGTGGCCGCACCTTATACACCAATGTGCTGATCAGTTTGGTTTCAAAGATGTATCCCAGAGGAATCCAGTTGAGAAAACGCAGAAGTGTCTCCAGGGTGGCATGGACCAGGGGGGCATTCTGGGAATTCTCCTGAGGTGCACACAGCAACACAAAAATCAGCTGAAGAACAAACACTGGTGTGTAACCGATGATAAAAAGAATGTACGATACAAGGAAAAAGATGAATGCATACCATAACAAACTGACACAGCTGGAATATCTGGGAGAATTCATTGCACATGCTGAAAGAAAACAAACAACATGTTAAACAGCATCTGACACTGATAATGAAAGACAAATCTGAAAGTTTCATGTACAACTTGTGCCCTGAAACAATGTAAATAACCGTGGTTCGTTTCTTTTGATCACTTTATGTCTGTTCATGTTTGGTTTCAAACTAACACCGTTTCAAAGGTTTTGCTGCACTGACAGCAGCTAACAAGTTGCCACCTACTCAAGTAACACCGCCCTCTCTTATCCCGCTCTCTCCAGTGTTACACTCCACCCATCTCATGCAGCAGTTTTCACACATGAACTTTGGGCCAGTTCAGGAGAGTCTAGTTAATATTTCTCACATTTGTCCTTCCTCACATGTAGCACACAATGGGACATGGTCTGCTTCAGACACAGTTGCACTACTGGAAAAACACTGTAGTTTAGTGGAGGGTGCTGCCTAGAC